TGGTGGTGCTGGTAGTGTACACTCACCTGCTGGGTGGTGAGTGTGGTGGTGCTAGCAGTGGTCAGAGCAGTCGTGGTCGTGTTCCAATCATCTCCCATACCAATGCCCAAATCCTTACCATTGGGCACCAGGATCAAGCCTGCATGTAAACATACCCACATATAATACACACGTTATACACACATGTATATCCACATACACATAAGAACCTAAGAAAGAAGGAACACTGCAACAGGCCTACTGACCCATGCGGAGCAGGTCCATGACCCCCCCCCGGATTAGACCAATGACCCCCCCGGATTAGACCAATGACCCCCCCCCCCCGATTAGCCCAATGACCCACCCAGTCTGATCATCTCCACTCAAGGATGGAGCACTGCACCAGACCCAGCAGCACAAGCTAGTCAGGTCCAACTCACACCCACCCACACCCACTCATGTATTTATCTAACCTATTTTTAAAACAACACAATGTTTTAGCCTGAATAACTGTACTCGGGAGTTTGTTCCACTCATCCACAACTCTATTACCAAACTAGTGCTTTCCCATATTCTTTCTGAATCTGAATTTTTCCAACTTGAAACCATTGCTGCGAGTCCTGTCTTGGCTGAAAATTTCCAGCACGCTATTTACATCCCCTTTATTTATTCCTGTTTTCCATTTATACACCTCGATCATATCCCTCCTAATTCTACGCCTTTCGAGAGAGTGCAGATTCAGGGCCCTCAGTCTATCCTCATAGGGAAGATTTCTCATACATGGGATCATCTTTGTCATCATCCTCTGTACGTTTTCCAGAGCATTTATTTCCATTCTGTAATACGGTGACCAGAACTGAGCAGCATAGTCTAAATGAGGCCTAACCAAGGATATATAGAGTTGAAGAACAACCTAAGGACTTCTATTATTTATACTTCTAGATATGAAGCCAAGAATTCTGTTAGCTTTATTGCGAACATTAATGCACTGTTGTCTTGGTTTTAAATTACTGCTAACCAGAACTCCTAAATCCTTTTCGCAATCAGTAATATTAAGATCTACATTATTTAGTTTATATGTGGCATGGTTATTGTCCTGTCCAACATTTAGAACTTTGCATTTATACATCTGCTCCGCATATACACGTTCCATACACATAAATCTTAACAAAATTAGTGAATAGTTTATATTTCAGTGAAATAGTATAGATTATTATAATCAAAAAGAAGCGCTAAGCCACAAGGGCCATACAGCGCGAATTAGTATAGAAACGGTAAGGAACCGGCGAAGTAGAACAGTTTAGAGGTATATTTTGTATATGCATTGAGAGAAGCAGTGTATATACCCTGGAAGGTGTATATCTCAATTTTATACACTTGAACGTGTTAATATCTCTGTCTGTGTATATACACGGAGAAGTATTTATGTGTATATACACTGAGAGGTACATATCTCAATGTATATACACTGATAGGTATGTATATTCCAGTGTATTTACATATATATATATATATATATATATATATATATATATTATATATATATATATATATATATATATATATATATATATATTTCTTTCAACACACTGGCCGTATCCCACCAAGGCGGGGTGGCCCAAAAGGAAAAAACGAAAGTTTCTCCTTTTACATTTAGTAATATATACAGGAGAAGGGGTTACTAGCCCCTTGCTCCTGGCATTTTAGTTGCCTTTTACAACACGCATGGCTTACGGAGGAAGAATTCTGTTCCACTTCCCCATGGAGATATATATATATATATATACATATATATCTAGTGTATATATACGAAGTGTGTAGTATTAGGCTTTAAACCAGGACAAGCCAAGGATAGGTATTTAAGTTCTAGATTATTGGTCCGTGACCACTAATTGTTTTTTTTTATGGTCCTAGCGAGTGGTCCATGGGTTTAAATGGGGGCTAAGGACTCCCTGTGAGTGGTCCTGGTCATTAAGTGAGTTTTAGGAAGTGAGGCCCTCTCTTTTTTTTCTCTCTCTCTCTTTTATTTACACAAGGTTAGGTTAAGAGTTCCTTCTTTAAATCACAAACTAAGAGGTGTTACCTATCTCAGCTCATTTGAAAGCCTTGTTATTGTTATGAGACATACATAAATGGAACAGGATGAGGTTAGAGCCATCTGTGGACCAGTAGTTTCATTAGGTCAACTGAGTTGATTTCATCGACGTTTCTGTAGACCAGTAGTTTCATTAGGTCAACTGAGTTGATTTCATCGATGTTTCTATACTGTATGAACATGTTCCAGATTCGAGTCATTCTAGGAATGATTGTTCTGGAGAAGGTTACAGAGTATGGTTGTTGTTTGCTGCCCGTCTTGTGGTATAGAAGCTATCTTCTCTGTGTCAGTGAAGTAGAGCCAAGTGTGGTACTTTGACAATATTGGCCTTGTACATAACAGTAAAGCCACCCATATCCCTCCGGTATTTAAAGCTCTACTGAAATGACAGATTCATCCAGGCTGGGTCCAGGCCAGAGATGAGTCGTCTTACTCAGTTCTCTATTCTGTTAAGAAGTCGCAGATACGACGGAGGGCAACCAGTCCAAGAAAGACACATATTTCTCTCTTAATCATTGTTATTATTATTATTATTCTTATTTTTATTATCATTATTACTGCTATTATCATTACTATTATTTTATTATTGTCGTTATTACTATTATCATTATTATTAATTATTATTATTATTATTAATTATATTTATTATCATTATTATTAGTTATTATTATATTTATTATTGTTATTATCATTAGTGTTATAATTATTAGTATTACTCATACTCTTATTATTATTTCGCATTTTCCTCTCCTTTCCATTTCTCTTCTTTTCCTGCTCCCTCATTGTTGCCTGCATCTTACACTCCTTTTCTTCCTCCTCCTACCATCTTCCTCCAGGTGTTCCCACAATAGTATTGTCACCTTAGCAACGCGATCAACACGTCAACAACCTCGCCGGAAGTGGCATTTCCGTTATGTAAATTAGGTCTTCAGTGCTCCATTATCCCAACTGGTAAGTGCCACACCACACAGGTAAGTGCCACACCTCACAGGTAAGTGCCACACCACAGGTAAACGCCACACCTCACAGGTAAGTGCCACATCACACAGGTAAGTGCCACACCACACAGGTGCCACACCTCATAGGTAAGTGCCACACCTCACAGGTAAGTGCCAAACCTCACAGGTAAGCGCCACAACACACAGGTAGGTGCCACACCACACAGGTAAATGCCACACCTCACAGGTAAGTGCCACACAACACAGGTAAGTGCCACACCTCACAGGTAAGTGCCAAACAACACAAGTGCCACACCACACAGGTAAGTGCCACACAACACAACTAAGTGCCACACCACGCAGGTAAGTGCCACATCTCACAGGTAAGTGCCTCACCTCACAAGTTCCACACCATACAGGTAAGTGCCACACAACACAACTAAGTGCCATACCTCACAGGTAAGTGCCACACAACACAGGCAAATGACACACCTCACAGGTAAGTGCCACACCTCACAGGTAAGTGCCTCACCTCACAAGTAAGTTCCACACCATACAGGTAAGTGCCACGCAACACAACTAAGTGCCACACCTCACAGGTAAGTGCCACACAACACAGGTAAATGACACACTTCACAGGTAAGTGCCACACCTCACAGGTAAGTGCCTCACCTCACAAGTAAGTTCCACACCACACAGGTGAGTGCCACATGACACAGGTGAGTGCCACATGACACAGGTGAGTGCCACACACACACAAAAGGCAGTGGAAAAAATGTAGAAGTGTTTATGTGTATAATAAAAATAACGGATAAATTGTAAGCTTCTTTGGGGACGGGGAGGGTATGGGAAAGGGGGAGAAATTTACGGGAGGGGAGAAATAAACGGAGATGGGGAGGGGAGGGAACCCAGCTTCTAAGTACTGAGGAGGCGGCATGACAGCGAAATACACTCAGAGTTGTGCTTTACTACCTAGGAGGAGGAGGAGGAGAAGGAGGAGGAGGAGGAGGAGGAGGAGGAGGAGGAGGAGGAGGAGAAGGATGTGGAAGAAGTGCAAGAATTCTAACTAAAGTTGGAAATAAGCAGAGATGAAGCAAGAAGGCAGCATAAAGTGTTGTCAGCACTTCCCCAGTAGTGCCACCATCTCAGTCTTCTTGTATACACGCAGTGAAAATCTTGAGGCACCAGGCACCTCTCGTCCCAAGGTTGTAGCAACGTAGGAGCAGCGTAGCCAGACAGCCACGGACCATCCAGTAGCATCATCCCACAAAACACTAACCACTTCCATTACTGTGTATAATCATGCATCATCATAATAAAAATCCTTACCCAGTATAATACCGATGGAGAGAAGGATGATAAATGGACGCCTTCGTCCCAGCCTTGAGCGGCAGTTGTCTGAGAGAGATCCCAGGATTGGCGTGAGAAAGAAACCTATGAAAGGACTGAGGCACCAGATGAGCGTCATGTGGCGGTGTTTCACCCCAATTTTGAGCAGGGTGGGCGAGACGAAGGCAGTCTCGGCAGCGTAGCAAAACTCTATTCCCATCACCGCTGCTGAGATGCGAACCATTTCCATACGTGTCTTGCGCCTGTGACGAGGACATTTATTTCTATTTAACAAGATTACATATAAAGGCAGTGTGCTGCTACACTAGTCTATATGATATTTACACAGTGAGAACAAAAACTGTTACCCTGGTACAAGCATAACACAAATCGGAAATTCATGCCAAACAGGTGTGTGTGCACTCACTTATTTGTTGTTGCAGGGGTCGAATCACTGTTCCTGGCCCCGCCTCTTCACTGGTCGCTACTAAGTCACTCACTCCCTGTTCTGTGAGCTTTATCATACCTCTTCTAAGAGCTATGTATGGATCCTGCCTCCACTACGTCACTCCAGATTGTTCCACTTCCTGACAACTCTGTGGCTGAAGAAATATTTCCTAACATCCCTGTGGTTCATCTGAGTCTTTAACTTTGAACTG